ACCCGGCCCACTGGCCCCTCCTTCCCATACCCTCAGGGAATCATTACTCCCATTACTCCCATAACTGTTTCTGAAGGGTTATCTATTTTGGCTTTAATGCATCAAGTACTCTTAATTATATGTGTGAGCATATGCAAGTCTAACCATGGTTAATGAGGTGTTATGTGTTTCATCAGTGCTATACAGCTCCCTAGATCTATTATCCCTTCCATGTGGCCTTTCTGTGAGGGACTGTCCGGTTATCTTACAGGTGGGTTTTTGGTCTCCACTTTGTCCCCATTCCTTCATGTCAATTTGATTGCTTGTTTTTGAACTTCTGATACCTATTCTCATCAGCACCTCATGATCACACAGGCCTCCTTGTGTGAACTTCCATGTGGGCTTTGTTGCTTCCTTGCTAGATGGCCACTTGTTTAACTTCAAGCCTGTAAGACCCCAGACACTATCTTTTTAATGGCCAGGCACCATCAGATTTCTTCATCACCTTTGCTTATGCATCTATTTTGTCTTCAGTGATTGTGTCAGGAAGTGAGCATCATACAGTGCCACATTATTAGAATATGTTCATCCGTGCAACAGCATATTCTAAGCACCCATAGTAATGTTCATTCTGTTCTTAGGTGTGAAAAATTAGATAGACCTATACTTGAAATATTTATTTATTCATTTAATAAAACTCCTTATACTTCTGCTTATACTACAGTTTTATTCCCATACCTTTGTTCCTTCAATAAACAAACATATAGCACAAAGACAAAAAGTACCAAATAACCAAAGGTTGATATGCAGTCATTTACTTCAACTTTATGTTACACCCCAAATTCCCACGAGATATTATGAGTAAATTATGCAATTTGTAAGAGTGTTCAAAGAGCTAAAATATTGTTAGAAAAATTCCTATAAGTTTAACATAAGTGGAAAGGGCAAATAATAATATAATATATTCTCAGAATATAAAATATACAGAGAATTCACCTATTTCTATTACATCAAATGCAATGACTATTGTCTAATTGGCCTACCTCAAAATGAATGGGGTTCGTTTCCTACAATGAAAAGATAGTTAAGGACTTATGCACAGCTCATGATGCTCAGATAAAAGTGAGGAATACTACAATTGAGAATGCCAATTGAGAAGCAATATGGAATATCTTAAATAACAGGCCTATGGGTTTTTTTTGTTAGGTATGAATTAACATTTTTAATTAATATTTTAAAACTCTTTCTTATAACATAATCTAGTTTTGTGTACCTCTTTCATTCCTTTTTAATCATTTTATTGGGGGCTCGTACAACTCTTATCACGATCCATACATCCATCCATTGTATTTCAAGCACATTTGTACATTTGTTTCCCTCATCATTCTCAAAACATTTGCTTTCTACTTGAGCCCTTGGTATCAGCTCCTCATTATAAATTATTATTATTTTGTCATATCTTACACAGTCCAGCATCTCCCTTCACCCACTTTTCTGTTGTCCATCCCCCACGAAGGAAGTTATATGTAGATCCTTATAATCGGTTCCCCACTTTCTACCCCACCTCCCCTCCACTCTCCCAGTATCACCACTCTCACCACTGGTCCTGAAGGGATCATCTGTCCTGAATTCCCTATGTTTCCGGTTCCTATCTATACCAGTGTACCTTCTCTGGTCTAGCCAGATTTGTAAGGTAGAAAAACAAGCAAACAAAAACCTTTCGTTCTTATGTAAGTATTAACTGTGTGAAGTAATAAACTACTTTCAGGTCTATCTTTTTTTTTACTTAAAACAGTCATTAGGGCAATAACTAGTTGTTATATTATTTGAATCCCACCACTGATATGACCCTTAAACTGTGTCAAAACTCATAGCCAAAAGAGATAAGGACATAAGATTATTAAATCATTTTGAAATGATTTCATGGACTTTGTGAGTTAAAAACCTGTACTCAAGAATGGATCCTTAGAGGTAAAAACCTCCTTAAAGGAAAGGAAATGAGTAACTGTCACCAGAAAAGCAAAGTCAGAGAAATGAAACAGAGCCCAGGAGTAGAAGTGCTTTCTAGGAAGCCGGAGGAAGAAAGTGCATACAGAACAGAGAGAGGTCAGTAGTGCCACGGGCTTCAAACACTCTGGGAGGCTTGGGAAGAAAGCAGAAGCTGTGTGATTTCCCCATGAAGCATGTGGAGTGGTTTTGCCAAAGTACTTTCAGCAGACTGATTGGTCGGCAGCCAGATAACGTGAGCAAGTGACCTGTGAGAAGACCACTGAGAACACTGGACAAGCCCCTCCTTGTGAGGAACTTGGTGAGAAGAGGGAAGAGCAGGCAGTAGACAGGTGAGGGGACAGAGCCCAGGGGTGTGCTTTTAGGATTGCAGAGTCTGGAGTAGGTTGTTAAGGCTGAAATGAAGAGGGTATGTAAGTGGGTGATGAAAGACAATAATAGCGAGACAACAATCAGGCAAGGAACATGGGTTTGGAATCTGACAATCTTGATTTAGGCTCCATTTTATTGATGAAAAAATCTAAGGTTAGGGTGATGTCAGAAGGAATTTAGGTCAAATTTAAATCTCATGACTAACTTTCTAAGGTAACTTATTATTTACTGTGAGATTATGCTCTAGAGTACATTTACTCAGACATTCTGCTATAAAACCAAACATAATGCCAATTGAATCAACCCTATAGGATAGGATAAAACTGCCCCTATGAGTCTCAAAGACTGTAACTCTTTGGGGAGTAGAAAGCCCTGTCTTTATCCCAAAGATAGGCTGGCAGTTTCAAACTGCTGACATTTGGAATCACAGCCCGAAGTGTAACCACTACGCCACCAGGGCTCCTACCTCATGCTGTACAGTACACTAAAAACTCTAATCTTGATTTTTGTTGTGGTGAAATATACATGCACAGGTAGTCTTAGATTCCCTCTATTTCTTAATCATTTAAACTTTTTCTAGAATTCTCCTAGTTGTTTACATTTCAATATTACCTTAACTTTTCCAAAATTATAAAATAAGATTAAATTTTTATAATTCATCAAAATAATCCTGAATCTACTTATTTTATTCTTTCCTGGTAGGAATCTCGGAGTTCCTTGTTTTATAAAGGAAATATAACTTTTTCCAAAAATCATTGATTTATTCTCCTGTCACATAAGTGTCCCTCAAATGACTGTAGTACTTACAATGACCTGCCACTCTAAAATAGCAGGCTACTCACTTCTGCTGATGAACGATATTGGACTGGCTCAGAATTCTTCACATTTGCCAATGGTAGAAATGGGTCATAATCCGTGGATGTCAGCCAAGGTCAATATGTTATTGCAAAAGGAAAAATCTAAAAATACACTCTTTGATTTTAATACCACTTTTCGTTTCCCTGCAGTTTTTATGTAGAACTCTATTTGACTTGAATATTCATTGTTCAGAAAAACTCAGTAACTTAAGCAAACCTGTTCTCACAGTTCTATGGTACTCAAAGTAATTGTTTAAATAATTATGACAGCTTCGGAAGATTCACTAACATTTTAACTCAGTAAAAAAGCAAGAAGATTAAAAATATATGGGCAAATACAAATACTCTTGCTGAGTGTGGGTATACCCTGTTCAGAGTACAGAGAAAAAATAAAAATGATAATCTCTGTCTTGACTTAATGGCATAAGTAACCATTTATTATTACCTAACTTCTAGACATGTAACAATTCTGATGAAGCAATTTCATATTTTTTGTTTTTTTTGCATTGATTCTTTCACAGACCATTATCTACTATTTAAAATAATTACAGATCTTAGGTAGAGTTACAGAGAGAGGGACAACTGCTTATAGCTGATATGGTTGCAAGCCCAACCTAGGAAGGAGCCCATAAAAGCACATGTTCAGATTTCTAGTCCCTAATACCTTACTGCTTAAAAAGCAGAATCAAAGAGAAAAACCTAAAATCTCTGTTTTTATATTTCATCTCTAAACTAAGAAAAATTAAATTAAATTAATATGGAAATAATTTGGACATCATGAGCTTGTTTTTTTCTTTGATAGAGTATAGATTTTTTCCCTTATTTTTTAGGAAATCAGTTGATTTACAGGGAAAAAATTATTAACTCATAGATATTTTAATAACAAACATTTTAGATTTTTATTTGGTGTGTCATGATTTATAATTTGATTGATACAATTCCTGATAATTTCCCACTATTAAATTTCCCACTTTTATATTTACTTCACATCGAAAGAAAGTCTTTGAATAAAAGCAGAAGCATTTAATTTTCTACTCGCTTTTGCTTTGGATTTTATCAAATTGGACCTTCTTATTGGAGTTATATATAACCTGTTCTACCATGTCATCATTATCAAGTGTACTATATTGTAAACTCAGTCTCCTAACCAACCATTTTTTATCTTTGGGGCATTTATATTTCTGGTAGATGATATATTCATATAAGATGTAAGCATGAATTGGAACTGTCTTTAACTTTTGAAAAAGGTATTTATACAAGATGGCTGTATACAAGATTTTCTTGTATAAATACCTGTTTTTTGCTGCTCATCTCCCTCTACTGATTTCACTTTCCTGCCTTTTCCTTCCCCTCCTTTTCCCCCTTGCTGTCCTGTGTAGTGATCTGGTGGGAGAAGTTGTTACTACTATGTTCCACTTCTCCCTAGCACCTCCTCCCATCTTCTCCACCACATACGAGCTTCACATTTTTTTATTGCAATAAAAGTGCTTTATGCTGGTTTTTTAAAAATTCTACACTGAAAAGTATTTTCAGGTACTGATGGCAATCTAGTGGCACTCAGATTCTTTTATCACTGTGGTGTCGTTTTTCTTTGTTGATGTTTACAGAAAAGAAGAGAAGAAGTTTAGAATTGATTCCCCTGACTGCAAGGATGGTGATGGCCCATCTGGTGAACCACCTTGGGCACTACCCCCTCAGTGGGGGCCCTGCCATGCTGCACAGCCTCATCAGTGAGAACCACGACAACACCCATGTGGACTCTTCTGAGCTGTCCTGTGAGGTGTTCAAAAGCCCAAACCTGCAGCTGTTTGTGTTTAATGACAGTACCCTCATATCATACCTGCAAATACCTACAGAGAGACCAGCAAGTGGCTCATCCCTGGATGCCCTCTCTGATGTTAGAGTTATTATGAGGGATATATCAGGGAAATACTCTTGGGATGGCAAAATCCTATATGGACCTTTAGGCGGCTGCTTGGCTCCCAGTGGAACAAATCCTTCATTTCTCTTTTCAAGTTTGCATCATCAAACACTGAGACCTCGGGAAGACTTTTCTCAAATTGAAGAAGGAGAGGACTTCCTTGACAAACTACTTGAAAATATTGGCCACACAAGTCCCGAGTGCCTTCTCCCATCACAGCTAAATCTTAACGAGCCCTCCTCACCCCCACGTGGAATGAACCATGACCAAGAGAAGGAAATCATAGAGGTCATTTTGCGCCAGGATACACAAGAAGATGCGTATGTTCAGAAGACTAACTCTGACTCTACTATGAGAGTTACTGGTCAGCGACAGCCCAGGACAGTTGAGCCCCGGGAGCCATTCTATTTCTGCAGGTTATTGCTTAATGATCTGGGAATGAATTCTTGGGACAGAAGGTAACACTCTACTATAGTCCTTCAATTATCTTGTTGTTTTTGCATGACTTTCTTTTCAGGTATCAGAATGTTTACTGATATAAAATCAGGACCTGAAAATGACTCCATAAATTGAATAGACTTTAATTTCGACATTATATTAAGAGGGACCAACTAAAATTCTCATCTTTTGTTTCTTTTTTTTTTTTTTTAAACATTTTATTAGGGGCTCATACAACTGTTATCCCAATCCATACACACATCAATTGTGTAAAGCATATTTGTACATCATTTCTCAAAACATTTTCTCTCCATTTAAACCCCCGACATTAGGTCCTCATTTTTCCCCTCCCTCCCCGCTCCCCCCTCCCACATGAGCCCTTGATAGTTTATAAATGGGTATTTTGTCATATCTTGCCCTGTCCGACTTCTCCCTTCACCCACTTTTCGGTTGTCTGTCCCCCAGGGAGGAGGTCACACACAGTTCCATGTAATCGGTTCCCTCTTTCCTACCCATTCTCCCTTTACCCTCCCTGTTTTGCCACTCACACCACTGGTCCTATAGGGCTCATCCATCCTGGATTCCCTGGATTTTCAGTTCCTATCTGTACCAGTGTACCTCCTCTGGTCTAGCCAGTCTTGCAAGATAGAATTCGAGTCATGGTAGTGGGAGCGGGGAGGAAACCTTTAGGAACTAGAGGAAGATTGTATTTCTCATCATTGTTACCTCATCTTTTGTTTCATACCCATAAAAGCTACTTCACGGACATTAATGATCTCTCAAAGCATGATTATTATAATTTTTAATCAGTTGCAGCTCTGGAAGAAAAGACTAGAAATGGGAGGTTGTTGTGTGTGTGTATGTGTTTTTCTTTTTGTCTATTTCATCATTTACAGCTTGTTTTCTACTGCTAAATTAAAAGTAGGGGTGGAACGAATTGTAGTCTACTGATATACAGATGTACATTTTGAAGGAGACCTGTAGTGTGGTTAAGCACTGGACTGCTAACCACAAAGTTGGAATCCATCAGCCACTCCATGAAAGAGTCTGTTTTTTATAAATAGTTATAACCTTAGAACCCTAGAGTCAAACCCTACTGTGTCCTATAGGGTCTTTATGAATTGAAATTGACTTGAAGGCATTGGGTTTGGGAAGTTTAATTGTATATTTCAAAGGGTATCAAGCATTTTCTATGCTTTTTTCATTCTGCCTTGTCCATTGTTGCTTGCTATAACTTCATAGAAGGGGCTAATGGACTATACAGATTAATGAGCCACACTCTCACCTTAGGTCTGATGAAGTAGGTGTACTTGATACAACTCTGTGAAAAGGTGTGGTGACAAATGAGTTGAAGAATTATGAGTGAGTCCAAGGCAATGGAGAAGGCTTTGTGGAAGAGGAGGACTTTGACCTGGAGTGGAGTTTGAGGAAAAGAGGTTCAAAGCAGAACCGACACTAACAGTCACATGCACACAGTTACACATTCATTGACCACAGAGCCCTCCGGTGTCACTGGAGAGTAATGAGAATCAGTGAATATTTTTTGCTTTTGAATGTGTTGAGAAGTCTAGAGTTTAGTCTAACAAATAATGAATGATATGAAGGGTGGATAGGTAGATGGATGATAGCCTACTTTTTTAAGTAGTTTGCTCACTAATTGATTAGAAAGGGATAAGATCAGTTTGTGATCACGTGATTTTTCTTGTATGCTTTTTTGTTTATAGGAAGAACTTTCATCTGTTGAAGAAAAATTCAAAATTACTAAGAGAGCTAAAGAATTTGGACTCACGTCAGTGGTATGCTAAAGTGTATTCCCGTTATGCCTGTCTTGTTTTCTATATTCTCAGATAACGTACAGCTGCAGGAATCAATATACCTGTGGAGAATAACTCTTACCATCAAGAATCTAATGACATTGGCACATGCCATACCTTTGATATTTTTAGCCTTGAAGAATGAACTTTCATTCTAAGAGGAAGCCAGTATACCCACCTTATATTTGCCTTTTATTGAGTAATTTCCACTGTGGTAGGCATTTAATGTACATTCTCATTTCATCTCTCCAGCAACCTCTTTTTCATATCAGGAAGCATATTAAATAACATAATCTTATGGCCCTTTAACACTTGAAGATCATATGATTTGGATCATATGAGTGATCCAAGCGAGTCTCACTGAATAGCCCCTGCTGTTGCACTAGGGCTTAGGCATTCTGTGGTCTTTGTTTTATGATGTTGGAAAGGTTAGAAACAGTGTGTTGTGGTTAATAAGTCTTTATTAATAAGCCTCATTCTGCTTACTTACCTGGTTGGGGAGGTACCATGATCATGAAGGTAGTTCTCCCAGGGTGAGGCTTATCCATTGTACTCTGGATGTGCTGACCCTGCGATTTCCCCAAATGTGGGAAACTCAGCTGCATAATTTGTGGTAGTGGGGGACTGCATTTGCACTCTCCCCTGTAATTTCAAAAAACATCTTTTTAAATAAGCCTCATTCTCCAAAGTAGGTCAAGTACTCTGATATTCTCCTTTCCATCCTATCTCAGAAGCAATTCTAAAGATGAATTTACAGCCACGAAGTTTTTGATTTGGGGGAAATGCATGCTTCCAAACTCAGGAGTAAATGTAGCACGTAGTACATGAAGTGTGTTGTAAAAAATCTTCAATGCGGTTATAAAAATGGGGCTTCAGGGGATTTTTTGTTTTTAATATAAAACCTGACACCACCCCCACCCCCAGCTTATTGTTCTAATATTGAATTAGCTCTCAAGCTTAAAATTTCAGATAATATTCCTCAAATTGATTGTTTAACTCTCTACGTGGTATTTTATTAACATTTACATAACCTTCCTTTCAGCAGGCAGGGTTGTGTCATATCCTTATCTCGGGTTAATAAGCCTTCCTCCGATCCTGATATCGCACTCTTCATATAATCCAACTTCTCTGACGATTTGCTCAGCATACAGATTGAATAAGTATAGTGAGATGATACAACCCTGTTGCACTCCTTTCCTGATTTTAAACCAGGCACAATCTCATCTTGATTCATGTACAAGTTCTGCATGAGTACAATGAAGGTTCTAGAATTCCCATTCTTCTCAAGGTTATCTATAATTTATTATGATTCACACAGTCAAATACCTTGGCATATTCAATAAGGCTCAAATAATCATCTCTCTAGTATTCTCTGCTTTCAGTGAGGAACCATCTGGCATCAGCAATCTTCTCTTGTTCCACATCTTCTTCTGAATTAGGCCTGAAACTCTGGCAGCTTGCTGTCAATGTTCTGCTCTAAGCATTGTTAGATGATCTTGAACAATATTGTTTATGCGTGCTATATTAATGATATTGTTCTATAATTTGAGCATTCTACTGGGCTACCTTTCTTTGGGATGGCTACAAATTTGGGTCTCTTCCGTCACTTAGCCAAGTAGCTGTCTTCCAAATTTCTTAGTGCTTCCAGTGTTTCATTAATATGATATTCCATTAACTTGTTTTTTGCTAATACTTTCACTTTAGCTTGGACGTCCATAAATACTCTTGGTTCTGGCTCATATGCAACTGCCTGAAATGGTAGAATGTCAACTAGTTCTTTTGGGTAAAGTGACTCTGTATTCTTTCCGTCTTCTTGTGATGCTTCCTGAATCATTCAAAAATTTGCCATAAAAATCTTTCAATATTGCAACTGAAAGCTTGAAATTTTTCTTGAGTTCTTTCAGTTTAAGATATGCTGCGCATGGTTCTCTTTCGGTTTTCTAACTCTAAGGCTTTGAACATCATTATTATTTTACTTTGCCTTTGTGAGATGCCCCTTGATGTTTTCTGGTCAGCTCTTTGACTTTGTAATGTCTTTCGTTTTCCTTAATTACGTAGTTTTCTAAGTTACGATTAATAGCAAATTTCAGAGCCTCTTTTTCATCCACTTTGATCTTTAATTTCTCCTGCCTTTTTAATGACCTTTTGGTTTCTTCATAGATGATGTTCATGATGTTGTCCCACATCTCACCATATCTTCTTTCATTAGTGTTCAGTGCATCAAATTTGTTCTTGAGGTGTTCTTGAAATTCAGCTGGGATAGACTCAAAAGTCAGCCCCCTGGCCTAGTTTTCGCTGCTTATCTTGAACTTCGTCATTGTCTCAGCCCACAGATGAAGTCAATTTGACTTCTGTTTATAACATCTGGAGAATTCTATGTGTATTACTACAGCCTTTTGTCTTGTTGAAAAGGGTACTTGCTATGCTTAAGTCATTGGTCTTGCAAAATTCTATCATTGAACCTCCTGCTGTGTTTCTCTCATCAGGGCTTTCTTTCTGTCATCAGGCCCACACTCTCTAAGTACTGTTCCTTTCTCTGTGGTTCCAACTTTTCCATTCCAGTTTCCAATAATTATCAAAATATCTTGATTACGTATTTGATCAATTTTCAAGTGAAGATGTTGGTAGAATTCTTCTAGTTCCTCATCACTAGCTTTAGTGGTTGGTGCATCAATTCAGATAATTGTATTGATTGGATTTCCTTGAAGGCGGATAGATATTATCCTATCATAGACAGCATTCTACTTAAATATATATCTTGGAATGTCCTTCTTCATGATGAATGGGACACCATTACTCTTCATTTTTTCATTCCCAGCATAGTAACCATATGATTTTCTGATTCAAAATGACCAATACCAAAGATCATTTCAGTTCACTGATAAAATATTAATCTGATAAAATATTGATCTTTATGCATTTCATTTTTGAAGACTTATAATTTTCCTAAATTTATACTTCATGCATTTCATACTCCAATTATTAATAGATTTTTGTAGCTGGTTCTTCTCATTTTGGGTTGTGCCCATCAACAAATGAAGATCACAAAGACTTTCCTTCCATAGGCTTGATTCCATTCACATCATCATGATCAATTCTACTTTGAAGAGGCATAGTCATTTTGAGTGCCTTCCAACATGAGGGGCCCTTCCTCTGACACTATCTCTGACAATGTTCTGCTTCCATTCATTATGCCTGCAGAATCTGGCAATGTTTCCATGTTAGGTTTAAGGGTTTTAATGGCTGCTTCCTCCGAAGTGGGCAGCCAATTCCTTCTTCGTTGTATGATTTTAGTCTGAAAATTCCACTAAAACTTGTTCAATGTGGATGTCCTGCTGACATTTGAAATACCAGTGACATAGCTTTCCGCATCACAGCAACACACAAAGCCACCACCGTACAACTGAGAGACAGGTGGTGGCTTCTTATCAATGGTAACCATGAAAGAATGTTTCTTTTAGTGTGAAAATCTCTTCTTAACTTTTTTTTTAGTGGTCTCATACAATATTTGTCCTTTTGTGTTTGACTAATTTAGTCAGCATAATGGCCATCAGGTTCATCTATGTTACAAGGTATTTCACAGATTCATCATTATTCTTTAACAATGGATAGTATTCCGTGGTGTGTATCCTCCTTAGTTCTTTCATCTATGGGCATTTAGGTTATTTCCGTCTTTGTGATATTATGCATAGTCCAGTGATTAACATGAGTGAACATATATTTGTGTCATGGTTTTTATTTCTCTAGAATATATACCAAGTAGACAGATTGCTAGATCAAGTGGTATCCCTGGTTCCAAATTTTTAAGCAGTAACTTTTTCCCCAGTGGTTGTACTGTGTACCCACCAGCCATATATCAGAGTTCTAGCTCTTCACATTCTCACTAGCATTTGTTTTCTTTTTGTTTCTTTAAACTTTTCTGTAAATGTTGAGGTGAGATGATATCTCATTGATTTGTATCTCTGTAGTGGCTAAGGATCGAGAATATTCCTTCCTATGTGAATGTCTCTTTTGGTCTAGTCTCTATTCATGCGTGTCCTTTGCCCATTTTTTAAAAATTTGAATTATTTGTTCATTTGTTGTTGAAGTGTTGAATTTTCTTGAAACTTCAGAGATTAGCCCTTTGTCTGGTATGTTATTGCTAAAGAATTATCTCAGTGTGTGGGTTCTCTTTTGGCTTTTTTGGTGAAATTTCTGGATGCAAATAAGTGTCTAATATTTGCAGTCATCTAGTTTGTCTTCTACTGTTTGTGTGTTTTCAGTTGTATTGTTAAGTGCTATCAAGTCAGTTCTGATTCATACCAAATCTATGGACAACATGACAGAACAGTGCCCAGTCGTGTGCCAACCTCACAATTGTTGTATTTGAGCATTATAGGTGTCTTTCTTCCACATCAGATTTGTTTGTTCTGGCGCCCCATGGTACTTTCAGTATTCTTCGCCAATACCGTATTTCACATGCACCAATTTTTCTTCAATATTCCTTTTTCATGTATTGTATCTTATTTGATCTTCCTTATGTCATACGCTAGGGCCCCTAAATCTGTCCCTTATTTTTCATGGATCATGTTCATAGTTCTAGGTTTTACAATTCTGACTTTGATCCATCTTGAGTTCATATTGTAATATGATATGAGGTAAGGGTCCTGCTTCATTTTTCTACAAATGGGTATCCAGTTTTGCCAGTCTATTTGTTAACTAGACTTTATATTCCTCACTTAATATGTTTCAGCCCTGTGTCAAAATTAGGTTCCTAATTCTGTCCCATTGGTCAGTGTGTCTTTCATTGTACCAGTAGCAGACTGTTTTGACTATGTAACCAGTGTAGTAAGTTTTGAAATCAGGAATATGAGGCCTCATACTTTGTTGTTCTGTATATGCTTTCTTTCCCAGTGCCTCTTCCTTTTTAGATAGATGTGATTATTAATTTTTCAATTTCTTTAATTATATTGGAATCTGAATCAGGATTCCATATATCTGTA